AAATATTATATAATATATTAAAGTATACGATGGAAAGTATATATATATATAATTATAACTTAATATATATATATATATATATTAAATAATAATAATTAAATATAATTAAATTGATTTGATGTTTATGACGGCACAATTTCCAATGATTCCACACCCCTACTAAGGGGGTGCCATTAGCACTCCCCTATATTATAGATATAAGAGACGTGTTTCTTTTTTTTGAAATATATAATATCTACATACGACAAATGCAATAAATAAACTCAAACACCCTCCTCACCTTTGGTGAGGTTTTAACCTCAGACCTCCCAAGAGACCAAAGACTACGATACCGCTAGGCTAAAGGCCCTTTGGTTGCACCCTCACATGTTGTCATATAAATGTCTTTTTTTTATATATGTATGACGATTAATGTGCATTAATCAAAAGTCAGACTTTATATCGACTTTGAGAATGTAACCTTCTAACGTATGTTCAAACCTTTACAGGGGCAGACTATTTAATACCATAGGCACGCTGGATGAAACCCATCGAGTTGATTTTTTTTTAATTGGAAAGTTATGTTAGAAAACTCATTTAAGATCATTTAACGAAATGATGCCAACTCTATTATCAAACAAGATTATGAAGAACTTCACATTCAGATAGGTAAAAATGTAATGACAATGATACTTTCAAGCACTTTCTTAGTAACACAAATTAAGAATCCTTACAGAACTTTATTGTTTCAACTTGGGCACTATGCTGAGAGCAACATTATGGGCCTTAGTATTCATGCATCCATCGCGGCTATCTTTTAACCTCCACAGCAGGATCCGCATGCCGGAAGAGAATCTAGAGAGAGAGAAAGAGAGTTTCATAAACATCCGAAGATTTTACTCCCTACTTCTCAAAATAAATGTCCACAATGAAAAAGACACGGTTTTAATTGTACAAGTAATGAATTTCTTCATCTCAATTAAGAGTAGAATTGGAAAGTAGACATTTCATTTTGAAAATGGACACTTATTTTGGGACAAATTGAAATAGAAATGCTGACACCTATTTTAGGACGGGAGTATAAGTAAATCGAAGTACAATAAAAACGAAACATGAAAAATAACATACTGTGGTCTATGCCTCTAACGTTGTCTAGTCCACGCGGAGGTCCGCGTGGGCCACCACCATATGGGCCACCAGGGCCACCACCATCCCATTTCTTGCTGGAACCAGATAGTTTCTTATACCCATCAGATTTCTCCATCTATACATGCATTGAAATATATAGTGAGTTGTTTGTTGAGCAATATGCATACATGGACAAATCTCAGGAATCAACATTACCGAAAACATGGTGGCAAAGAACACACGAATGAAAGCGATGATTGCCCAAAAGAAATCAATGATTGTTCTGAGTCGCCATATGGATCGACTAGATTTCACAACGCCTGAGGAATCAACACAAAGTAACTGTAATTCTACATGCATGATACTTGTGCATGGAGATAGATACAAGGAAATAGAAAAGAGTAAATTATGGCATCATATCAGGTTTCGTTTGCTTGTTTATGTAAATTATTTAACATAAAAGACTTGAGATTACACTTTAAATTACTTGCCTGATGAAATTATCAAGTAGCATTTTAGGGATTAGTTGAATTTTTGGAAAATAAATCTTGAATAACAGATATTTAACTTTTCATGCAGACCAAGTACTGCAACATTAGTGTCACAGACCAAAATATATTTCCTATGTAGATCCAAGCAGCGTTAGTAATGCCTTTATTGTACTAAGTAAACCTTGAGGGAAACCCGGACAAGCCTGTGCGTCTCGTAGGAAAACGAGGCTGGACGGGACTGGTGAGAGTGAGGTAGGAAGGTGAGAGAATTGTGGAAGGTTTTAACCTATCTTGTCCCATCTTCCTGATATCTTTTCCACTTATGTTGGTGGGACAGATGCATTCTGTCCCATCAGTCAAGTCCTATCCCAGTCTAATTGTCACACCAAACGTGGGACAACAAGCTTTTGTTATGTCCCATACCAAAAGCACCTCGGTAAAGAATAAAAGAGAAGAATGAGAGAATGCTTAGGAAAGCTTATTCTTTATAACACTCAATCTCCCCTGGACGTATGCTAAGAAACAAGAAGCTCTACCCCTTTTATGCGAGACTCCAACCCTTCAAGGAACATTCTATAGTCCATGAAGAATCTACACTCCTCTTACAAAGTCTAGAACCCTTACAAGTATCATTACTATTCTAGAGGACACAAGATATAAGCACTAGGTTAATAGTAGAGCTCCCTAGATATTTCTAGGCGACTCATAATTTTTCTTCAGCACATTGCACACGTGCCGTCCAACTACATGGCACATCCAGACTCAAAGGGGATAGGGTTTGGCACTAGATAATGATATGGAACCAGAAATGACAATGCCGGATGAACAAGAACTATAAATTGATAAACCATAGGAATTCTTCGTATAGGTTAACTTCAGGTGCGTGTTCTCTTCCTATAAAGCTTAATGTCACTACCCAATTGTTTCATTATTAGCAGGCATCAAAAGGTTTAAATAGAAATTGTTTTAAACCTTTCATCTTCATGTTGGTAAAAAGTTACGGTATAAGATAACATTTATTTTCTACACACAACAAGAGCATAATTCTCGAGTAAAATCGAAAGTATAATAGGGAAAAGAATCTGAATTCCCAATTTGTATCAACATGCATAAAGACCTAACTAGGGTTTGAAATCGACTAGTTAACATAATAACATCACATCTTTTAATTTCAAGCAGAGACATGGGTGAGTCTGAGTTGATTTACCATTCAGAAGGAAAAAAACATCCCAGGGATCGTCAATCCAATTTCAATTGGAATTGAAATCATAATTAGGGTAAAATTTACACAGCGTCATTTAACAAACAATAAACACTCTATTATTGACAAACCCTAAATTCTCTAAGATTTCGCTGATGTCCCTAACATCATATTAATTTTCACAAAATTCAGGCGTCGCTTCAATTTACATGCGCACAAATAAGATAACTATGATCTAGCAAAGGATCTAACCCCCTAATTTACCACTTTATGAAATCAAATGCTCCAGAAGAGCCTAAAATCAATCCCCATTGTGAAATTTTAGGATCAGGGAACAACAATTTCCAATCTCAAATCGATCCTATCATCCAGAATCCCAGATCGGGGAATTCATCATTTTACAGCAATAATCAACCACCACGGTGAAATTCCGCCACCAAAAACAAGAAATTCGAAGATCACCAAACCAAATATTCATACAATAAACACGAAAACATAAACCGATGATGAAAATCACGCAAATGAAGAGAAAGCGAACGCACCTCTTTCGACGTAAGCCATTGAAGATTTTAGTTTTACGGTCTTTGAGTTCCTCGGTCTTTCTCACGCATAAAATGGTTTCTATGTCGAGCTTGGGGAGGAGATGATTTTAAAATTCCGGAGAAACAAAAGAAATCTTACGTGGCCAATTCTGATTGGCTACATTATATAAACCCCAAAAAAATAAAAAAATTGCCACCAAATATTAATTTTGTTTCAGTTGACACGTGTACAACAAAGAAGGTATTTCATAGAATTTATTTATAATAATGTTCTAAAATATATTACATAAATTCATAATAATTAATTAATAAAAAAGTAATTTAGTTATTTTTATAATTACTTATAGAAAATGTAATTCAATGTTATTTCAAATCGTACAAACCAAACACACCAAATCAAATTCTTACCATTTTAAATCCCTCAAAAACATTCCCCCTTAGTTTTCTTTCGAATTCCAATCTTTGAATGATAAACAAACTCATACATTCATATCATGTACTCGATCTCGATCGTTTTTGTGGATTGAACTTTTCTGTTTAGAGAGCATCAAGAACGATCGAAACTCCATGCTCGGGTCTGACCATGAAAAGCTGAACAGGAGAATGAACATAATTCGGCGACAGTTTAAACTTAAATCTTTGTAGAATCATCACAAGTGCAATCTTGGCTTCGACGAGTGCAAAATTTAACCCGACACAAGTCCGTGGTCCGAACCCAAATGGCAAAAATGCCGCAAGCGTGTTGTTTGTTGCTTTAGCTATACCCCCTTCAAACCTCTCTGGCTTGAACAGATGAACATCGGATCCCCATATTATAGGGTCATGGTGAACCGCCAATGGCGAAATATAGAGCTCCATGTTCCGCGGAAGGGTCATCGCTCCTAATCGAACTTCTTTCTTGACTTTCCTTTTTATTGCAGGAACTGGCGGGTATAGTCTTAAGGATTCTTCAACGATCATGCTCATCTGAAAAACATCATAAATTACAGCAACAAAATCAGTTTTATATGATGCCCAAATGCTTCATATTAACTTATTGCAATCAAAGGACCTTTGATCTAGCAGAATGTGAGTCTTTGACCTCCTAAGAGGTCAATGGTTCAAACCTTATTTGGTGAGGAAGATGTATGAGTTTATTTGTTCTATTTGTCGTATATAAATATTATCTGTTTCAAAAAAACAAATAACTTATTGCAACACTTGTAATACAAAAAATTTGGTTGTATAAATTTAAGTCCTATAAAGAAGTCTATTAAGACATTTTTAGATATATTTAACTTCATATAAATATGATTTTGTTGTAGTTAACAAACAGAAAAACATGTAGTCAGTGATTGATGGTTAAGATTTATGTTAAACAGAATGGAATCAAAGCCAATAAAGGGTTATAATTGTTACTGTTTTGAGTCTTGTGATCGAATCTGGAGTTGGGTTTGTTTTGCCACAGAACTCGAACACCTCGTCTCGTGCTTTTTCTTGCCAATCGCTGTGAACGGCTAGAAGAAGAACCGTCCATCCGAGTAACGATGTCGTTGTTTCGTGGCCAGCGAAATACAACGTTTTGCACTCGTCCACCATATCGTCTAACGAGATCCGTTTTTCTTCATCGTTATCACGAGAAGCTTCCAGCAGTTCTCCAAGAAAATCCTTTTTGCTATCGCTACTGCTCGTTTCTTGCTCTCGCTTTTGTATGATCTCAACGATGCATTTTTTGATTCCTAGCTCGAGTTTCTCCGACTCTATATCATCATCGTTCTTAAAAAACCCGCTGCAATTACAAATCAAAGACTTTAGCCAACTCACACTACCACAAATGCTTTATAATACTTAAGTTTATAGAAACAAACAATTGTCCGTCAGATGTTAGGTCGTATTAACCTGATGCCAGGAAGTCGAATTTTATGTGCGTTTCTTGAAACAATTAGCGTTAACTTGATTAGCATATCGAAGATTTTCTTCCCTTCTAAATAACTGCTTCCGAACGCAGTTTTGGATACGACTTCCGATGTTAATACTCTGAATTCTTGAAATACTTCGATTTCTTTCCCGTCGTATGCTTTTTTCCACCTTTCGAGCATCGTTTCGCTGCTAGAAATCATTGCTGGAATCATGCTCTACACCCGCAAAACTTGAGTTAGTTGTATGTAACACCTTTAAATAGGACGTACAATTGTTTTAAACAACTTATTAGGACATTTAAACATATTTGTCGTCCTATAAAACTGTTTATGATCCATTTCGTACGCCGGAACAAGTTTCTGCAATGAACTTCATTTATTTTCTATAGAAACCGGAGAATATAGAGCAAAGTTATCACACGTACCTTTAAGCTCTCGCCATGGAAGACACCATTGGCGATCTTTCGAAGCTTTGTCCACTTATCCCCTTTCGTCGAAGAAAGCCCGTCTCCTAACAGCTTCTTTGCATGGCCTTCAAGATCGATCTTCGGGTAAACACCGTCTTTATCGTACAATATTTCTTTAATAAGCTGAGGTTCTGTAACCACCAGTTGAGCTTCAGCACCATACCAGTTCAAGAAATTCCTTCCTAAATTCAATAAAATTCGAAATAAAAAACATCAAACTTAGCAACAACTAAGCCTGCGATTATTACAGGCCATCCGTTGTCGTCTAGAGATTAATCGGTGCACGTAAGCTGACTCATATACCGCAGTTACCAAAAAAAATATTAAGACGACTTAAATATTCACTTAAAGAGATGACATTCAAATGGGTATAGATTTCTTACCGTATAAGTTCACCCACGAGTGAACATGAGGTAGAATCCTTGGAAAGATTTCGTGCGATAGATGATCCATGGGTCGACCCATGGATCGTGTTCGCATCGCGTAAATCTCTTTGGTGTTTCCATGGAGGAATCTATAAGAAGGGCCTTTTATTCCTTGAGATCTCATCATGTATTGTATACGGATAGGCAACCAACATACTTTGTGGAGAAACCTAACGAGCATCAATATCAGTATCAGTATAAGGAAACTAGCAGTAAAAACCGTAAAATATCTGATCATTCGATCCATTTTTTGCCTTTCAACCGGGTGTTTTAGGCCGAAACGATTAGGAAGATGGATATTTTTTTGCATGAATGATCGATTAGTTTGCATTTTGTAGGAAGAAAATGAGCCTTTGGTGAGGTCAAGAATTATTAGATTCTTTCTAATGGTTTGCGATATTAATTAATAACTCATATTTTATAGACTCAAAATGTTGTATTCATACAGTGTTGTTTTATATTTGGAACAAAACTTGTCAAAATGCAGTATTCATACAGTGTTGTTTTATATGTGAAAAGTTTTTCTGTCTACAAAACAGTACTGAACGTTTCATATATGAAACAACATTGTATTATAAACACTGTATTTTCGCATAAGACATGAAAATTTGGTTTATAAATCTGTACGATTTATTGGGTTTGTAAATGATTATACATCGTTATCAAAATTTGCACTCTTTTGATAAAATTGTATTTGGTAAGGGAATCTTCAAATTTTCTATTCATTTGTGAATATGAAATGGTATTCTTCTAGAAGAACAACACCATTATTGAGAGGTTACATATCTTAATTAATCTTGACTTGATTATAGAAAAGATACAATCATGTGTACGACTAATGTTACCTATGTTATTAAAAGATACAACTTTGGTCACAGAGGTTCAAATGCGGTGACTTCGGACTATCTACAAAGCAGGTGGTCGTTCTGAGATTAGTCGGTTCGCATAGCGGGTTGGATATCCATGTTAATAAAAAAAACATACAACTTTGTATGTGTTTGACAAACAATTGATAAACTAGTCATGTTTGATAAAAATTACACTGTGAATTTCTATTTTTATTTATGGGTAAATTTTAATAATTACACCTTTTTAAATTGCGTATTTTTAAATCGTGGATATTTATTATGTGATGAAAAAATTAGTTGATAGACTAAATGACAATGTAAAATAATTTAAAATAATATGTTTGAAAAATATAAGGAATATGAAAGGCTTGATGAAATACTATTTGAAGTAACATTCCGAAAACTAACTTAGGGGCCGTTTACCAAACGCTTGCCCGGGTAAGCGCTTACCAAATAACATTATCTCACCGGATGAATATAGTAAGGACCAAGAATCTTACCCAGTAAGAGGGAAACAAGGACTAAGGGGAAGTTTACCAATTTTTTTGGTTAAGTGCTGATTCAGATAAGATGTCTGACTGTGGTAAGAGGTCTGACTGAAGTAAATGCAGATTGTATTTTCTTATTTACCAAACATTTTGTATTAAGTGTTGATTGAGTAAAAAAAACCATTATATCCCTCTTTCTAGAGTAAGTGTTGATTGAAAATTATTGTTTACTATATGTATTGTATTAAATGCTAACATAAAATGTTATTTATCAAATTCCATCTAAGCCCAATTATATTTGGATAAGATTAAAAAAGCATAGGCCCATATTAACCTAGATACATTTAAGCCCAATTATATTTGATCTATATGCATTTCCACTCAAAAACCTAATTCTCTTTGCCCAAAACCCTAGTTCCCTGATTCTCTCTGCCACCCCCGACCGGCCGCCGTCGCCCTCCCGTCACCGTCCAACACCTTGAATCGGACATGGCCACCGACGGTGTCGGCGTTCCTCTTCCCCACCTATTTCTCTTTGCCCAAAACCCTAGTTCCCCTGATTCTCTCTGCCACCCCCGACCTTCCTCTGCTCGCCCTCCCGTCACCGTCCAACCCCTTGAATCGGACATGGCCACCGACGGTGCCGGTGTTCCTCTTCCCCACCTATTTCTCTTTGCCCAAAACCCTAGTTCCCCTAATTCTCTCTGCCACCCTCGATTGGCCGCCACTCGCCCTCCCGTCACAATCCAACACCTTGAATCGGACATGGCCACCGACGGTGTCGGCGTTCCTCTTCCCCACCAATTTCTCTTTACCCAAAACCCTAGTTCCCTTGATTCTCTCTGCCACCCCCGACCCACAGAAATGGCTGCTGCTCGCCCTCTCGACACCGTCCAACACCTTGAATCGAACATAACCCACGCGTTTGTATGAAGAAGGCCCACCAATTTAGGGTTTTAGACGGAGAGGGTAGATAAGGAATGCATCGCTCTTACCGTAAGATTCATTTTTTTTTGCTGACTCCAGTAAGAAGACGGTCAGAGGCAGAAAATTTGATTGCTGATTTTGCTGTTAGGTAAACACTTTTATCTCTTATCCGGGTAAGCATCTCTTAACGGGTAAGAAGTGGTAAGAGATTAGTAAACGGGGCCTCGTGTTTAGTTAAAACTCAATAATTATACTAATTATATTTTAGATTTTTTATATTTAAAATGAGATGTTTATCTTGTATTTGATTATATTTTATATTTAAAATAAAAATGTTTTATCATGTATTTTATTATGTTTATCTACAGTTATTACACGAATTCAAAGATGAAATTAAAATAAGTTTACCTTACGTACTATTTACTTGTAACCTTGAATATTAAGTAGAATACATCAATAAATAATAATTTATACATAAATAATAGTTTTTAAAATTTGTTTTGAGAAATACATTTTATAATATAATATAAGCAAAATAAAACAACGTTCAGTTATTTAATAAAATTAATAAACACGATACCAAATACACCTTCATAAATGGTTTACTTTTGAGCCCTTGGAAAGATTCGTGTTTGGAGAGGATTCTTCATAAGGATGGTGACCTCAGCCTTCTCGGAAAGATCAACTTCATAACCATCGGCGGCAGTCCACCGGAAAATCCATATCAAATTGGCAACAAAATATTCCAAATGAAGCAGAGCCAAATCGTAGCCGGGGCAGATCCTTCTTCCGGCACCAAATGGCATCATCTTTATCCCTTTACTTCCAGTTATATCAAAAACGCCATTCATGGTATCATCATTCATCAAGAATCTTTCTGGTTTGAACTCCATCGGATCATCCCATACTTTTGGATCCCAACCTATCTCCGCCACCAAGAAATTAATGGTGGCACCCTCCGGAATCTTGTACCCTTCCACCTCCACCTCTTTCGTCACCCTATGTGGCAGCAGAAGATGGCCTGATGGGTGTCTCCTCAGCCCTTCCAAAACCACCGCTTTCAGGTATGGCATTTTCTGTAGATCGTCTTCCTTTATAACCGACTCTAGCTCCACCCCTGGTGATGGTGGTGGAGGTGGTGGTCCGACGACTGAAATGATTTCATCGTAGAGCTTACTTTGAATGTGGGGATGCTTCACGAGATTGGCCGTGATCCATATTAGAGCGGTGGAGGTGGTGTCTGTGCCGCCGTTAAGGAACTCGCCGCACATGCTTACCATCTCCTTGTCGGTGAGCTTTCCGCCATTTCCGTCAGTTGCGTCCCCCTCCGGAAGATGGAGTTTCATGAGGGTATCGACGTAGGCCACAATTTGTTCGCCGTCTGCTACTGATTGGGGTTCGGCATTTGCTTTTTCGATTCGAGATTTGATAAGTGGAATCAACACTTGTTCTTGATCATTTCGGATTTGCATAAATTCTTTCAATCTGTTTCTGAACAATATGCTCCCCAACCGTGGGAATAAGGCGAGCCCGTTAAGTCGGCCGGAGCTGACTAAGAACATCCACCGGCGTTGTACCTTCGCGATTTCGTTAATACGACGGTCGTCAAGCTTCTCTCCGAAACACACAAGCACCAACAGGCTGAACATGGCGTACTGAAAATGATCAACCACCTTTATTATTCCGGCGGCCTCCTCCGCTGCCGCTGGCTTCCTTTCCTGGAGGTGGCCAATTAGGTTATGGAGGACAGACTTTCGCGCCCAGGAGTATGACTTGACGCGAGAGGGGTGGAGAACCTCGGAGACAAGATTGCGACGGAGGAACCGCCAAGTAGGGCCGTAGGCGGCTGAGGAGATGTTCCGTACGGGGAAGGTTCGAGGGCGGTCGGCAAAGATGGCGCCTTTCTGGATAAGAAGTTGGTGGGCGAGAGAATGATCGCCAACGTAGATGAAATGACGAGAACCGGTGGAAAGAGTGATGAGTGGTCCATACTTGGACTTGAGGTTTTTGACGATGGGTCCGATTTCCGTTAGAGATTTGGTTAGCAGCAGGAAGTTAGAGGAAAGGAACGACGGCCCTGGTGGTAGGTTCTTGGTGGTTTTCCGGCGGAGCAGGGTGGATCTTATAACGGCGGCGACGCAAAGGGTAAGGAGGAGGAGGAGGAAGACGTCCATACTTGCAAACTTTGAGATTAACAACTCATAAAAACTGGTTTAAAAGGGTTCGAAAATATGTGTGCACTTTTTGATATTGTATTTGGAAGGAAATGTTGAATTTTTGTATGAATTTGTGAATATAAAATGGTGTTACTCGATTAGTTTGAGCTTGATTTTAAAGGTCAAAAGTATTAGATTTCAGATTTAAATTCAATGAAAAATAAAAATCTCTTGTAATCAAGGAAGTTCAAATACGATGACTTTAGGTTATCTACAACACAGATGGTCGTCATAAGATTAATCGGGTCGGATAACGTATTAGATATTCACTTGAATAAAAAAATATGATAATTATTGTAGTCTTCTAGAAGAACAACACCATTACATACAAAGAATAATCAATACAATAGTGTGTATGATTCATGTTTCATGCTACACGTATTATTAAAACTAGAAGAGTACTCGCGCAATGCAGCGAGATACATCGTGTTTTTAATATTTCATTTTATTTTTTTATCTCAGTCGATGTTATAATATGAC